GGAGAGGGCGGATATGATTTCTAGTCGGTTTCCTTCCATTGTCCTGCGACCGGACGGCTCCGCCAGCTGCTTCCCCTCGAGGAGGTGGGGAAAGCCCCGAGGTGGGGGTGGAGGGGCGAGAGACGCTCGGGAGACCCAGGCGTCCGGCCTCTCTCGCTCCCGACTCTCTTCTGAGTCCTTGTAGGGATCCAGAGAGACGGACTCCCGCCCAAAGCCCGCTCGCTTTCCCCCAATCCCAGCTCAGGAGGGCCTCGGGCACCCGCCCGTCGGCTGCGCTTGAAGGCTGGCGGGACGCCGGGGTCCAGCGCGGCAAGTAGGCAAGGCTCTGCAATGTGCGGCTCCTTCCACGAGGGGGCGGCCGAGCACTGGCCTCGCCTCGCCCCTCGTCTCCACCCGGCCGGGGGTGCGCTCAGACCCGGGCGCAGGATCCATTTGGTCTGGGCGGCTGAAACCTTTAGCCTCCTCCCCTTTGCGCGGGTTTATTTTGCACCTCTGTCTCCTAAGAGGGGTCTAGGGTTGGGCGGAGGGAGCTAGAGTTAGGGGACCGTGGGGACTTTCTTCTCAGGCTGGGGTTCCTACCTGAGGTGAGAAATCGTGGGCTTTAGGAGCCAGGGGGATGGGTGGGACAAGAAGGGGGACCTGAGCCTGGGAACTCCGGGTTTCTTTTCGAATTAAGCTAGACACTGCTACCCAGATGTCTTTGGAGGTGACTTTTAATTGCACATTAATATTAAAATTGGGTGGGGTAAACAAGAGAAGGGAAAACAAGGAGAAGGGAGAGAGAGCAGGAGGGGGCTTAACAACCCTAATTTGAAGTCCCTGATCTGAGAGATGGGCATGGATCACACCCTCATATTTTGTTTCGGGAGACATTGCGGGGAGGCGAGGCAAAGCTCATTTGGAGAAGGGGTGCTAGAGCTGAATCCAGCTGCAAGGCAGAAGCTCCCCGGATTTGGGCTGGGAAGAGTGTACAGGCGGCCAGGATTGACCTGCCATGGTCCATGGGGCTAGATATCAGGCGGGGGGCCCTCGCCTTCAGACCGGAGTGTGTCTTTATTTGAATGCATGAAAGACCAGCTGAGAAACCGGGAATTGGGAAATTCAGGACGATGAGGTGACGATGAGGTGGCTTTGACATGTGAGGGTTATTTAGGTCTCTGCCCAGCCTGGAGATGAGAATTAGACTAAGGGCTCCCTCTGGCATCAGGATGGAGTATTATTTGGTCAGTTGTGGGGTGCCTGTTTATTATGGGGTGTTGATTTGATTGTGAGCACCGGTGGCTGCATTCAGCCTTTGAGGCCTATATGGTAAGTTTCAGGTATGGGGCTGACTTTGAAGCTACATTAGTTCTGCGGGTTCTGACACCCACAATTTGGAGATTGTGCTCATCTGTGTCATTTTGGACTATCAGCAGAACCAAAGTACTCATGCCGATTTGGGGGTGCAGTCTATTTTGGGGTGCCATCTACGTTTCAAGGCTCAGATTAGATTTGGGGGATAAGAAGTTCAATTTGGAGTTTTAAAAATTAGTTTGAGGTGGAACATTATAGGAAGCTGGGAGCAAGTTCGAGGCTATCTGTGATTGGGGGTCTGGGGAGGGGGGAGCAAACTTTTGTATTTGAGTCTTGTGGAAACTCATGTTCCACAAAGTGGAAAGACGTGGGGTATTCCAGTGTATCTATGGATACCCAATAAGCTTTTTCCCTGGGGGGGAAACAAGGTGAGGGCCACGAGGACAGGAGACTAAAGTTCTGGGGTGTCCTTATTTTGGGGGTGTTTTGTCACTCTGGATGCTTTTGGTGAAGCTAAGGGATAATCATAAGGTGAGACTGATTTGGGGGTTCACGTAATTGGGACCCTGGTTTGGGATGTCTTTTGCTTATAGTACCCTCTCACCCCAGATTCGAGAAGTTTCTTTAGTGAACCCCCAAATAAGCCCAGGATTTGAAGGGAGAAACTTGGAAAGGGTGTGGTATGTCCTTTTATTATTATGTGGCTTGAGGGAGAAGTGAGGGAGAAAAGGCGGTTTCAGGCTCTGAATCCCAATTTCTTAAGGGAGCACCCCTTAGTTTGGGGGAAGTTGGAGGAAAACGGGGTGTCCCTTCACAAAGTGGACACCCCTGACCAGGGCAGTGCTGTTGGAAGTGTGGCAAGGAGGGGTGCTGGTGGGGTACAAGGAGGTGATTCTTGTACCCTGATTTTCTAGGATGAGCCCCAAACAGAAAGCAGACAGAGGACTGAGAGTGTGGGTGAGATGGGGGGGAGGGGTTCCCCACGGCAGCCGGGGCTACAGGGTAAGCCAGGCCAGCTCTTCGCGCCTGGGTCCCTTCTCTCTTCGGCTCTCCTCCCCTCTCTCCCTCCCACCGCCCACCCCCCCAACCCAAGAAAAAAAAACTGCCTGTGCAACAGCAATGGCAGATTCCAATCCTCCAGGCTTTCCTAAACCACCACGGAGACCAGCCAGGGGGGAGGGGAAGGGAGGAACGGGCTTTCCTGCTTCCTTAAGACAGGGGCAATGAGCTTGACCTCCTGGCCCCTAGCCCTTTGAGGAGTGCTTCCCCCCGGTCTGGAAGCCAGGTGTCCTGGACCCTAGCCCCCGAGCGGTGGGGGGGGCCTGGAGAGACGGGGAGGAGGAAGGAGGGAGTGACTTCCAAAATTGGCATCGGGACAGAGCAGGGCTGGCGGGAGGCAGGCAAAAGACGGAATTTTCCTGAAAAAACGGGGGTATCTGAGGACCCCAAATTTGGGGAGCTAGTCCAGGACCGTTCTCCCAACATCCTAGATTTTTTTGGGATTTTTTGGGGACCCCGGGACCCCTCTAGATGGGGTGAGGAATGTAGTGTTGGGTGAATCTGACTGGGGCATTGCAGCTGCCTCTCCCGCCGAGTTGGAGACGGATGGGCTGGGACGGGTTTTGGGGGGGTGTCCCCAATTCTGACTGGGAGTGGAGGAACCCCTCCTGAGCTCTCTTGTGGGGGTGCCCCCTCCCCAGGGCACTCCCCAGTCCCTGAGCCAGCCGAGAGGAAGGAGGCCAGCGATGCGACTGGGGCGGTTCCTTTCTCCTGCACCCCAAATGTGAGGGATGCACCCTAAATTTTGCTCTTTTCAAAATAGGGGACCAGGATCTCAGGGGAGAGTAGCTGAGGTAAGTGGGGAGGGAAGTGTCCTCTGTTTTCAGGAGAGACGTGGCGGTTGGGGGGGAGGTTTGGAGGTGCGTGCTGGGGTGGGGTTGGCTTTGTCAGTCTTGGAATTGGGGGGATGATTGGAGAGGCTTTCTCTTACACCCCTAAACTGCAGCCCCCCAGACGGAAACCAAAGGCTGAGACCAGAGAGCCCCCCAACATCCCCAGCCGTTAGGATAGTGTTTAATTTCTCTTTCACCCCCCACAAAGGCTCTGCCGAGGTGGGAGCTGGGGGCAACTGTTAGCTTGGGGGCTATGGAGGGTGGTGGAGGAGCAGGCGGCCTTGGCAAGATTTGATGGAGGACAGATAGGGGTGTCCGGGAGGGCTCTGGCATCTTCGGGGGCCTAAAAAGACTGCTTACATACACCACCTTAGATCTTTCAGATTGCTAAGAGTTTTGGGGGGTGTGTCGGAAGAGGGGGTGGTAAAAGATGCGATGGGATATGAGAAGATAACTTCTGGATTTTAGAGGGTCATATTTTGATTTGCAGAAGGGATTTTCGTCCTTGGATTTTGCTTTCCGAGGGGTATTTTTAAAAAATCAAGTCTTGGACAGGAGGAAAGGGCTGAGGGAAGGCCTGGAGTTGGGGGTGGGGAGAGCCATGTTTGTCTCAGCTTAAACGTGGCTCCCTGGGGTGGGCCCGCCTGCCCTGGCCTGGTGGATGGACTGATGGACGTGGCTGTGGGGGCCAGCTCGGGTCCTGGGGGGCCCTGGGGAGTGGGAACAGCACTGGGGGTTGAATACCTGGCCCCCCAGGTCCAGATGGCCCTCTTCCTGGGCTCTGCTGCTCCCCTTCCCCCTGGTCTCCATTTCCTGCCTTTGGCCTCCATCTTGTGGCAGGCCCAGGGCCCAGGGCGACTTCCGGCCCCCCTCTCCCAGCCATGTTCCGGCCCCACCACCTCTGGACTGCCAACTCCCAACCCTGCTGGCCTTGGCCCTCTGTCTCTCCTTGCTTTTCTCTTGGGTTCTGACCCCGGGAGAGGAAGGATGGACACAGGAAACCTTGGGTCCCTGCCCTTGCTGAGACAGGAGGCAGTGTGTTGGTCCCCCCAGTCATTCCCTATTTCTTTTGCCTCTGACCCCACCCTAGGGATCCCCTGAGCTGAGTTCCTACAAAGGGAAGATGGTCCAGTCTTCCTATACTATGAGCTCATCCCTGTGGTCCATCACCTTCCAGTTGCCTGCTCAGTCCGTCCCTGGTTCCTCCCAAACGTTTTTGGGGGCCATGTTTGCCTTTTAAGGCTTCTCTATCCCCCCGCTCCTGGAGGCGGTGCTGGGGTCTTCCCGGCACTGCCGTGTGCTCTCTTCCTCTCAGCCCACCCCGGTCCTGCTCCCGCCCCAGCAGCACACTGTGGTTTGTACGGCACTGTGGCCACGTCCAAACCACACTGTGGTGTTAGAGCGAGGGTGGGGGAGGCACCGCCGAGGCTTGGCCCTGGGAGGCCATCCTGGAGAAGTGACACAAAAAAACATCTGGGGCCTTGTGACAAACTTCTTGCCAGGTGGGGAAGGAGAGGGTGGGGTATGTAAGCACCCCTCTAAAATCTCCAGGACAGTTTCAAGAATACTGACGGCCAGAGACCCTGGGAGCACGTTCTGCCTCAAGAGAACAAAGTGGAGTCTTTGTTACCCACACCCAGCTTCCCTGGCTCTAGCAGCACAGAAATATTGGCACAGGGAAGCAAGTCTGCCAATATTGGCTGTGCTGCTCCAGGCAGGGTGGTGAAAACTACCGAGGAGGGGCTGAGCCCCCACGGGCCGAGGAGAGAAGAGGGAACAGCCCTCTCCTGCTAATAATGTTAAGCAGACAGCACGAAGCTGAGAGGGAAATCTTTATTGTTTTCTGTATAAAAATGTCCATCAGATGAAGGTCAAGGGGGTTGGGGGCAGATGCTTATGCGGGCACAGCGAGGTGGCAGCCCCAGCAGCCTTTCAGCCCTCTCTCGTGCAGGCCTTGCTCGGAGTCCCAGGAGATCCACAGGTCCAGCGTGAACAGTGAGAGGTCAGAGGTGGAAGGCTCAGCAGGAGAGGAGAGGAGGATCAGCAGAGGTCATGAGAAGGCCAGAATCCAGGGTCAGGCTGTCTGGAACAGGAAGTAAAATGGGCCGAGATGGAGCGAGCCCCCAGTGTGCTTCCGAGGCCACTCCCAACTCCCTGAAACACCCTGCTACGTACTGACCCAATGCCCTGCGCTGTGTATGAGAGCACCTTCTCTTCCGAAACCCCTGTACGAGGGAGGGGCCCCTGCGGAGACCGTGCCCTGCCATCCAGGTGAGCCCTTTCTCCCCCACCCTGTCAGCTGTGTGGGAGGAGGAGGACTCCTACCCTGGTCGAAGTTGAGTTTCTTAGCTGGAGGAGTTTCTCCTAGCCCTTCAATATCCACCAGGTCACTGTTGGCGTCGGAGTCGTTCAGAGCACTGAGTGTCACATCTGGGAAGGGGGCATACGCTAGGTTCTAGGTTCCCCTGACGGCCTCTCCCCCAGCCCCGAGCTTCCCAAAGCTTCGTGCCTCCCCTCCCCTCTGCCCCTCTCTGGGAACCTCCACAGGGACAGGAAGAGAGATTGACCCTTCTTTGACCCAGGCCCAATTCTCTCACTGAACCTCAGATGGACTTTTAACCCCTAGGTAGCAAGTCCACAGCCCTCACCAGCCTTCTGTTTCTTTATGGGGGGACCCCCGGCCTCGGGGACACTGGAGCTGCTGGGAGGAGGGGCAGCTGGAGGAGGTGACAAGACACCAGATGCCACCTTCTTGGGCCCTTTCTTGGGTGACTCAGCTGGAAGGGGGATGCCAGAATCTTCATATACCTTGCGTTTCACAGTGGCCTTTATCTGAGCCCTGAAGAAAAGAGAGAAGAGGTTAGGAAAGGAGTCATCAGAGAGACTAACAGAAGAAGGGAGGGGAGGTGAAGGGGTTCTGGGAGTCCCTTGAAAAGAATCCAGGTCAGGGCCCCAACCCATTGGGAGGGTTCTCACTTTCCCAAAGTTTTACACTCACTCAGGGTGGGTGGAATGTGGAGAGTGGAGTCCCTGAGCTGAGTAGTGGGAAAGGCCCATCTCCTCATTCTCTTCCGGGAGAGACATCGGGTAAGGCTTGGTGATTTACAGGTGGATTGGGATTTACTGATCAACTAGTCCAGGATCACCGCAGTGGAGTCCCCCAAAATTTATATAAAGAACCAGGGGACTTCCATCATCAAATACAATAACTGAGCATCTCAGGCAACCTAAATTCACATTCTTGGAAGGACTACCACAGCATTTTAGGAACTTCTGACCAACTGTGACAATTCTGTTCTTTCAGTTCTCAAGGGCATTCTAAAAAACTAGTGACAAAGTAGGGAAGCAGCTGAGCTGGAAAGGAGTTCTGAGGACGATGGAACCTTGGGTAAGGAGGAAGAAGGCTGCCCACCCGCCCTTTTCTGGCAGCCACCCTCCCTCACACTGTCCGTTCCTTGATGACACAGCTGATGTGATTAAGATCGTCCCCAAATCGCTTCACAGCAGCCCTCAGCATCTCTATTTCCGTCTCCGTCCACTTCGCACTGTCAGAAGGGGAGAGGGGGGATAGCAAAAATGGGAGGGGGGGTGTGGAGCCAGCCCACAGGCTATGCATCCCACAGTCAACCAGCCGCCTCCTTCCGATTTCTGGGACCCCTTCCACGGATGCATAAAGAGGTCCTCCATAGGGGCGGGGGACGGGCGGGAAGCTCTTGAGGGCCCTGCGGGAACCTGGAGGACCCCAATCACAAGAAATCACAACCACCTCCACCTTAGACACCCCTTTCCACCATGAACGTTAAACGCCTGCTGTACACAGCACACTGAAACCAACTCGCCAAGAAGGGCTTTTCAAACAGACCCACCAACAGCCTGCAGCCGTCTGGGGGAATTCCATGAACTGGGGTGGTTGGGAGTGGCGGTGGTTTGTGGTCGACCCGTTCGCAGCAGGGAGAACTGTGAAACAGGAGTCTGGGCCATAGGCCTGTCTGTATTTTTATCTGTCATTCATTCCCTCATCCAACGATCATTTATTAACACCTACTCTGTGCTGTGCCAGGCACAAAGGGAAACTAACGTCTGTCCCTGTGCTAGAGAGGGTCCGTGTCTGTGACCGAGTCCAAGCGCCCGCTCTCAGCGTCCACGTCCCAGTCCGGGCTCACGTACCCCGCAGGGGAAGAGTCGGCCACAGGATGCAGCTGCATCGTCAGCTCCCCGAGCTTCGTGAAGGCAGCGCCGGCCGCCGAGAAGATCTCTCCGACCTGGGGGCGGGGCAGCGTCACGGGGGGCCGGCGCCCGCCCTCCCCGTCCCGCCTGGAGCCCCTAGCCCCACCCCAGGCTCGGCTCCCGCCCGCCCCCCACCCGGGGCGGAAGAGCCGCGAGCCAAGTGGGGGGCCCGCCCTCCCGTGGCCGCCAGGGAGCGCTGTCCGCGGGGGAGGTCGAACCTTTGTGGACGCTGACGTCATGGCCCCGCGCGCCTCCTCACGGAGACGCCGCCGCCGCCGCTACACGCGAGCCGGGACCACGGAGAGCAGGGAGACGGAGCGGCTCAGGCCCCCGCGCAGGAAGTCCCGCCCTTCCCGCAGCGGATAGGCTCAACCCTGTGGCTCCCCGCCCCATCAGATGCAGTCGCTTCGACAGCTTGGCGCGCCCAGGCCAAGGGGGAAGCCTTCGCCTCACTTCCGCACCACTTCACTCCACTTCCGCTCAGGGGTCGGGACTGCCTAGGCAGAGGCCGACCTCCAGTCTCAGCCCAGTGCTCGCCCCCACTGAAGCACAGACACAGGGCATAAGAGAGCCGATTCTCTTTATTGAGATACGGGACACAGCGAAGGGTGGAGAGACGGAACAGCCCCCTAGCCTCAGCCCTCTCCACGGGGGCCGGATGCCACAGAGGGAAGAAGAGATTCAGTCTCTCGCCCGGGAAACCCAGTCCCGCAGAGGGTGCCGGCAAGGGTGGGACGCGACCCGGGTGACGCGGTGCAGGGAGTCTTTAAATAGAGGAGGGGCTGGAGCGGGGAAGCGCGCCCGGGCCCTAGCGCACCATGTATTCCTTGCGCTTATTGAGCCGAACTTGGCAGAAAGAGAAGCCTCCGAGGAGGAGGTAAAGGCCCGCGGCGATGAAACAGTTGTAGCTGACTTGCTCGTAAAGGTTGTATATGTTCTGGGGGCCATTCCTGGGGGTGGGAATGAAGCAAGGTGTCAAACATTAATAGCATCCAACGTTTGCTGAGCAGTATGTGCCCAGCACCTGTCTAGGCGCTGTTACGTGTATTACTTTATTCAATCTTCTTGACAATCCTATGGGGTGAGATCTGTCATAGCAGCCATTTTGCAGAGGTGGACTGAGAGGCACAGAAAAGTAAAATACCTAAAGAGGCCACACCTAAAGTGGTGGGTTTGGAATGGCCGCTGAGGTCGGACTCCCTAGCTCCTAACCACATTCTCAAGAAAGCAGCTCTCCTCTCCCTGTTCCCTAACCTAGGGGCCCCAAGCACCCGACCTCCCAGACGTAATCTGACCTCGCCACCTCTCACCTGATCCCAGCCCGCCTCCCCCACCCGAATACTTACTCAAAATCTTTCTCCGTGAAGGGAACGTCCTCAATCAACACAGCGGAATGGACATTGAAAAATATTCCGAGCATTATCTGGAAAAGGGGAATGGGTAGGTTGTTGAATTCAGGCACCTGACCTCAAGTTCACTTCGTAAACCCCTCCCATTTCTAATGTTGCTACCACACCCGTGCCTAAGATGAACCAAAACGAGGTGGTGGTTACTGGATTCGGACTCAGCCACCTGGAACAGGGCGTGAGGTGGTGACATTGAGACAAGTGGCCGAGGCAAGGGTAGGAATAGTGACCAAGCCTTCTCTCCCAGGAACCCAGATTATCGTCCTCCCTGGAGGCGTCATCATCACGGGACAGTGCGCAAGAGGGGAGGGAGAACCGGCACTTCTTCGTATCATTTCTTCTTGAAGTGGCGGTGGGTGGATTACTGGGAAAACAAGGCCCAGCTACCCATTTCTGGAACAAGCACTCTTTCCCCCCATGTCCTCCATTCAACTCAAGCATCTCTCAGGAACCCCGCTCTTGTTTATCCTACCTACCTTGAGGGGTCTCCACATTTACCAGCCCCAGCTGCCCACTCCAGGGCCCTTTGCTCCAGTTCCCTTTTTTCTTTTTCTTTTGGGACGGAGTCTCGCTCTGTCGCCCAGGCTGGAGTGCAGTGGCGCGATCTCGGCTCACTGCACCCTCCGCCTCCCGGGTTCAAGCGATTCTCCTGCCTCAACCTCCTTTAGTGGCGGGGATTACAGGCGCGCGCCACCACGCGCGGCTAATTTTTGTATTTTTAGTAGAGACGGGGTTTCACCATGTTGGTCAGGCTGGTCTCGAACAGTTCCCATTTTTCAATTTCAGTCTGTCTCCTTCTTCGGGGCCTGTAGATCCCCGGCCCCTCCGGCCTGCCTGCGGCCCAGAGTTTCCTTGCCTCCCAACCCTCCTAGCCCGGAGCCCCTCAGGCCCTCTCCGATCCTTGCTGGGGAGTCCCCTCACCAACATGATCACTCCCCAGGCGCTGAGGACGATGCCGCAGGCGGCCAGCTTCGGCCCACAGCACAGAAGCGACGCCATGAAGAAGGGAGTCGGGGATCGCCGAGGTGCAAGCGGGCTAGGAAAGCGGTGGGAGAAAGCCCAGGATGCCCTCGGAGGGGTGCAGAGGGGGCGTGGCCTAGGCCTCAACCATCCCGCCCGGGGGCGGCAGGAGGACAAGGCTGGACTCTTCTCAGGACTTTCGCGGGAAACGGCGCCGTCCGAAACCGAAACAGCTCCTGGGGAAGCCCTTCTTGACCTCTGTAGCTAGGGCGTGAGTATTGGAAGAGCGAGGGTCTCCGGTTTCTTGGTCGCCCTTCCCCCGCAGACGGGAATGGAAGGGGCTGGCATGTCACGTGACCAAGTCTGTGAGGTCACGTGACGAGGAACTAGCAGTAACCAGGCGTTGGGCAAAAAAGTCAAACTGGCGGAGCTCTTGGGAACTGGGGCGATGGTCTCTTAGGATCGGAGGATTGGAACCATCCGATTTTTACCTGAAATTCCTTAGTCTCTCCTGTGTTGGGGAAATGGTAAGTAAGACAGCTTATCACCAACAGAGAGCGTTTCTATCTCTACTCACTCCTCCCTTTTAAAATTGAGATTCTGACAGTATAAAGGAGTTAGGACCCCCTTTTGGGGGTCAGGCATGGTTTTGTGGCTAGAACGCTTTAAAATTGCTTAAGGTTCTTGGCATTGGAACTGTTTCTCCTAAGTAATATTTTATCATCACACTTGAAATACTGTAACTCTCGATGCCAAATTCAGGAAAAATGGGCAGTTAGGAGAAGTCCAGGGAAAGCCGACTGAGCAGGTTGTAAAGGTAAGCAGTCCTGTTAAATGTACATAAAAATGTCACTTTGCTTCTCTACTTTAAACTAGGAAAACTGATAGGTCTTTTGAATAAGGTAGGATATAAGATTTAAAAATATAAATAGGTCATCCTCTCCAAAAAAGCCGTTTGTATGCTTAACTGATGAGTGACAGATCTGTAATAATTATTTAGAAATATGAGTGTCGGGGCAGGCGGATCACCTGAGGTCGGGAGTTCGAGACCAGCCTGGTCAACATGGCGAAACCCCGTCTCTACTAAAAATTACAAAAATTAGCCGGGCGTGGTGGCACGAGCTTGTGATCTCAGCTACTCGGGAGGCTGAGGCGGGATAATCGCTTGAACCTGGGAGGCGAAGGTTGCAGTGAGCCGAGATGGCGCCACTGCATTCCAGCCTGGGCGTCAGAGGGAGACTACGTCTCAGGAAAAAAAAAAAAAAGAAATAGGAACGTTTGAAGAGCACAATTTTGCACTGAGCAAGTTGTACCCACTCTAGTGAGGACAATGACCTCAGAATAATTGAGAGGGATCATTTGACCTTGAGGCCCCAGGACCTAACAAATAAACACTATCATTGGCTAGAATAACTTTGTAGTTCTTGTCCATTTATTTTGTGCATATTGTTCTTAAAAGGCTTGTGAAAGATAACTTGGAATGTGACAAACACATAGATCCCAGAGTATTAAAGGGGCTGGGAAAGTAGCTTTGAGACATGAAGTATGTGCCTGTCATCTGGGACTGTTTGGAGAAAGCAGCTATTTTGGGGCAGTGGTTTTTATTCTGCCCCCAAAGCATCATTCTTATTCAGGGACTTTTGGGGTACATGGGTGAACAGGAGAAATATGGGTGGAAGGAAACTGCCAAAGAACCGAGTCAGGAATTTATACATTGGCCACCCGGCATGAAGGTTAGTTCCCGGGAATGGAGAGTTAGCTGGAAGTTGATTTTTCTAAGAAATCCCCCTACTCCATGATCTTGGATGTTTTGGAAGTAGGGTCAGGGCCTCAGGCTAGTGCAGAGTTTAAGGGCCAAATCCAGTCTGTAGCCTGGCTGTGTGTGTCTCAAACAAAGCACATTTGTTTGTGGATTTTTTTGCATTTTAAATAGTTGAATAAAAACCAAAAGAGACTATTTTGTGATGTAACATTCATATCTGTGTCCATAAAGTTTTATTGGAACATAGTCACACTCATTTCCATGTTGTCTGTGGCTGCCTTCATGCTGTAGCAGGAGAGCTGAGTAGTTCAGACAGTGACTATGGGGCCTGCAAAGCGTATAAAAGGATCTAGTCTTTGCAGGGAAGGTTTACTGCTCCCCTGGGCTAGTGGGATACTAATGTAGGGAGTTTCACTGGGGGAGGAAATAGAGCCTTAGCAGCAGAGACTTTAGTAAAGCATGAAATTCAAGATAGAAATGTCAGTCCTAAAACTGATGTGAAATCTTGCAGGTGGAGTCACTCTAGGGCTCAGATGGTGACACTGTTCTCTATGCAGCTGGGCTTCAGGTATTCATAGGGCCAGTCAAGTTGCTCATTCCGGGCTGTAATCTCCTTTTCCAGGTTTTCCAAATCTGTTTGGAATTGGCTTAGCACAGCTTTGGGCTTGGGGCCTGAGAAATATTTTTCTTTGTGATGCCCCAGAGGCACCTGAGACAGAACAAAGGATCAGTCAGTTTCTAAAGATGAACGCACCTAGAGCCCAGCCCCCACTCTAATATTTCCTTTCCAACTGTCATTTCCCTCTCCCCAGAGTCCCCTCTCACCATGTCCGGCTGGCGGCGACCCAGATGCCATGAGATGGCCATTTGAAGACAGGCCTGCTGGACATCAGGTAGTGATCCCATCACTGTGGCCATTGTCACATCTTCCTTGGTGGTGGGTGGAGGCATCCGCATTGTGCATGGGGCATTAGGGACCCAGGCATACCAGTCCAGCTGGAGGAAGAAACTGTAACCCTAGAACCCTGGTACTTAGGGTTTGAACTCCCATCTCTCCCTCAGGTCACCTTGCCTTCAGGGACCTGGGCTTTCAGCTGTCCATACCTGGCCCTGGTTGATGGCGGCATGCTGGGCAGTGCACGTGAAGACGCACATGGTGAGGAAATGGCAGAGTTGACTCTGGGACTGGAAGGAGACAGGGAAACCTGGGCAGGAAAGGAATAGGAGAGGAACAAAGGCTATTGTTTTGGGATGCCCGTATTTTAGAATTGATGAGTATTTGTTCATTTTATTTAGACATATTTGCATCAGACATGGGTTTGAGTCCTGGCTCAGTCACTTACACTTAGTTACCATAGGCCAGCTTAACCTCTTTGAACCTCAGTTTTTTCACCTGTAAAATATGGATGATACCTACATTATAAATGAGATGGTGTATCAAAATCACCTGGTCGATAATAAATGCTCAATAAGTAATAATTATTGTTATGGAAGCATTGGGGGCTGAAAAGTTCTGAGTGACCAAATATCCCTTGCCTCAAAAAGTGGTTAAGAATTGAGGGATGCATGGTCGGTGACTCATGTCTGTAATCCCAGCACTTTGGGAGGCCAAGGCAGGAGGATTGCTGGTGTCAGGTGACAGAGCAAGAGCCTGTCTCTATTTAAAAATTAAAAAATAAATAAATAATTTAGGAATGCTTACTCCTATACCCAGACAGAATTACAAGTGTCTGTGTTATAAGGTGGGGAATAAGTCATGGATGTCCAGTGTCACAGCTAGGGGGGCTCCCACAAAGGTTATCTCAGGCCACTCATCTTACAGTGGATATGGGGGCTCAGAGACCCGATAATCTTTTTTTTTTTTTTTTTTGAGACGGAGTCTTGCTCTGTTGCCCAGGCTGGAGTGCAGTGGCACAATCTCGGCTCAGTGTAACCACCACCTCTCGGGTTCAAGTGATTCTCCTGCCTCAGCCTCCCAAGTAGCTGGGATTACAGGCGCCCACCACCATGCCCGGCTAATTTTTGTATTTTTAG